GAACAAATGGTATAGTAATTTAATTATTTTTAACGTTGATTTTACCACGTACAAGGTGTGGATATCTACCTAATCTAGATTATAACACAAATAGCCATGGAATATTGTATCGTTATATTAGTATAACTAAATGAAAAGTTATGCATTTGCGTTGATTTATTATAAAATATGAAATATTATGTGATCAACTACTTACAATTATTTATTTATAAATGTATATATATATATATATAGATGATGGAAAATTAAATTATTTATAAATCAAATAAACACTATAGCTATTAGTTAGAGAGTGCAATCAATACTATTAATTTAGGATCACTCTTATTTTTTATCCTTAATTACAACTCCTTGAAATATTACTTTTCCATGTCACTAGCCCTGCTTTTTTTAAAAAAAGTTATTATTTCATAACTGTATCTAATTATACTCTAAATCTAACCACATTTAATTAGAGCAGTTAGAAGACTTCCTATATGGCCCACTCAGTTAGATGCTTTATGTCGTGATACCAGATATTCTAGGAAGCAAACCAAATATTCTCAAACTGAAATTCATATTTAAGCTATTGGATCCCCTTTCCCGTAAATAATATAACTCTTAATTTGCAGGTTTTTGTTACTGGTGCTGGAACAGATCTAAAAAGAATTTCACTGATCCATGAGTTTGAAAATCTTTTCGGTGGTATCAGAGAGAGAAAGAGAGAGAGAAGCAATGTTCTTCACGTTGAAATTTTTCTAAAGAAGATACAAAAGGGATATTGTTAAAAAAAATGAAAAAATACAAAAGGGATAAGATAATATGGTCGGAGATTAAGTTGGGCCTTGGGCCTTGATGTCAATCTTATATGATCACTATATCTCGTGGTGTTAGAGATATTAAGGAAAATAATACATAGCTAACTTAGATTCTCAGTAATTTCGTGATTGGTTAATGTGTTTTTTAAATTCAAAGTAAGATCTATAATATTATTTGATTTTTCGCAACAGAGTTCTCACGTTAAAAATTAGCATGATTAATATCATTTATATCCTTAATAAAAAATATAAATTATATACAAAATAAAAAATGAATTTTAATTATGTTAATTAGATAAATGATTAAAATTAGTAATGATAATAAAAATTATCCATAATCTAAATTCCTTATTAAACATTTAGAAATATATATCTTTTACTCAAATATGAATTAAAAAATATGATTGAAAAATAAAAATATAAAAAAGAAGTTTCTACAAAAATAAAAATATAAAATATGATAGAAAAATATATAATATTAAATAGAAATTTTTTAAAAATATGGGAGTGGGGTCAGAATCTAGTTACTCTATTAGTTACGCTTCTTAAAATTTATTTAATAATTTTAAATAAGAATATCGAAAACTCCCACGGTCCTTATCTAGAAATGGCCGACGTAAGAAAAAGAAGACCAGAATATTTTGACGAAGCTTCTCATGTAATTTGGGGATTGCTTCCTAAGGGAGGTATCCTCTCTGCCTCCACACAAATCTCTTTAAAAGCTCTATGATGGACCTTGAATCTCCTTTCATCCATCATTCAAATGGATTCTTCTTCTTTCTTCCTCCTTTCGATCTGTGCTGTTTCCGTAGGATTCTTCACGATTTTTGTTATGGTTTATAAGAAATTCAGATCCAAACCACAAATTGCTTCTTCTTCTTCATCTCCTCCATCTTCTCCCGATAGGAAACCCCGAGTCTTGGCGAGCTCCACTACATCAAATGATTTCCAAGGAATATCTAACGAACCGCAAGTCTACATCTACTGCCCAGATACCTTACAGTACTCCTTCGCCAGCCACCTCTCCCTTGATTTCCGCCGGAAAAACTTTGCTGCTTTCGTAAATTGCAATAAAACTCTCGATGTGATAGAAGAAGCTAGCGCTTCGGTGGTTATTTTCTCCAAGGACTGCTTATCCTCTGCGTCATACCTGGACAGGCTCGTGACGGTACTCCAGTGTCAGAGGGAAAACAATACGCTGGTGCTTCCAGTCTTCTATGGCGTAAGTCCATCAGACATTGAGGTGGTGCCGGAGGAGCACGGGTCAGACGATCGAATAAGAGAATGGAGTAGTGCGCTCAAAGAACTAAGAAAATTACCACCTCACCAGTCTAGGTATCCTCTTTTTACTTCAATTCTAAACATCACAAATTAACCAGTAGGAGTTGGTTTAGTGGAATACCTAGTAGAAGTTTTAAGGATCACATGTTCAATTCTAGTTGATATGTGTCTCTATGTGATAGTGTATATAGATTTACGAGCTCAGAATCTCCTGATTATTTTAGTATTTGAGCGTGGACTTGGCGTAATGAATATCTAATTAGAGTCTATGAAGTCACATGGTCAATTTCGTTGATAGATTTGGTCTAAAAGAATAATAATTAAACATTGTTTAAGCTTTGCTTTAATGTTTATGGACCTATGGATCCTAAGACCATGATTAACCCCGGGTTCTTACGGCGGAATTCTTAGCGGAAGTTAAAAATCTGTTTCTTAATTTCCGCTAAGAACTCCGTCTTAAGAACCAGGGTTAATCATGCAAGTTCCTAACTCTGTTAATTATTCAAAAGTAAAAATAGTAGTGTTGTTATTACGCTTTGGTATTTTAACCGGATCTGATTTAAAACACCTTAACTCGAACCCGGTTTGATCTAAATAATCCTCAAGGAGTTATATGACAAAAATAAGTTTTTTATTAAAGGATAACTAATCTAGAGTTAGGTTTAGAGGTAAGGGGTGGAAGTTTTGGGTTTAGGATTTCAATTTTATTTAAAAAAAAAATAAATATTACAAATTTTAAAATAAAAAAGCTATTTTGGTTTTTTTATTTTTGGACTTTATACTAATTCATTTCCTTTTCATAGTTCACTCTAAACCTAAATCAGTCTTCATCTTGGAATTGATGGTTACGTCTTTAGTTTCTCTATATCTTTCGATTTTATTGGAGGATACACTCTTTCCTAAAATTGCTTTGATGAAGTATTGCTCTTCATCTTTGAGTATTTGATTCCCCGTTCTTTGGTTATAAATTTATTTTGTTGTTTGCTTAATACTTATATTGTTCTATCTTAGAATGTACACATCACTATATGATCCAGAATTTTGTTTATTTATTTATTTATTTATTTATTTATTTATGAGCTATGTTCATCTCGCTCTCGTTTTTTAAAGTAACTTTAAATAACCGAAGCAATCCAAAGGTATAAAAATGCATGAATGGGTTCGTGTTCCCCGAAATATCCGAAAATTCAAAATACCCAGTCCAAAACGAGCTGCTATCCGAATGCCACCCTAGTTGTTATTATAGATTGAATAGGCAATTTATCTAAAACAGTTTTACCCTAAATTATTTTTTATTAATCTTTTTTCCAACAGTATACTCATAATGATTATTATACTAATTATGCGAACAGGGAGGAATGTGATGAGTGCCAAGTCGTGGAAGAGATTGTCAGCTATGTGTATGAAAAATTATTTTCCAAGGAACAAATCGGAATTAATTCGAGGCTGCTGGACATGGAACCGTTGCTTTGCAAGCAACCAAGGGGTAATGTCCGCCGCATTGGAATTTGGGGTATGCCAGGCATAGGCAAGACGACACTTGCTAAAGCAGCTTTTGACCAAATCTCTGGAGGCTATGAGGCTTCTTGTTTCATCAAACACTTTGACAAAGCTTTCCACGAGAAGGGACTTTACGGTTTGTTGGAGAATCATTTTGGGAAACTTCTCAAGGAACTGTCTCGAGTAGGGGCCAAATTAAGGAAGAAAAGAACTCTTGTTGTCCTTGATGATGTGCAAAATTCTGGATTTGCCGAGTCTTTCCTCAAAGGTTTTCGTTGGTTTGGTCCGGGAAGCCTAATTATGGTAATCTCCAGAGATAAACAAGTTTTCCGACTTTGTCAGATCAATCACGTGTATGAGGTTCAGAGCTTAAATGAGAATGAGGCTCTGCAGCTATTCTCCCAGCGTGCATTTGGAGAAGATATAAAAGATCAAAATCTCCTGGAACTATCAAAGAAGTTGATAGACTATGCTAATGGAAATCCATTCGCTCTCAGCTGTTATGGAAAAGAGCTGAAGGGAATGAAACTATCAGAAATGGAGACCACATTCCTCAAACTCAAGCGACGCACGCCATATAAGATTCATGATTTATTCAAGAGCAGCTACGAAACACTTAATGACAACGAGAAGAACATCTTTCTGGATATTGCTTGTTTCTTCAATGGAGAAAATGTTGACTATGTGATGCAGCTGCTTAAGGGGTGTGGCTTTCTACCACATATTGGGATTGATGTTCTTGTGGAGAAGTGTCTGGTGACCATTTCAGAAAACAGAGTGAAAATGCCTAGAATAATCCAGGACTTCGGCAGAGAAATAATCAATGGAGAAGCAGTACAGATCGAGCGGCGTCGCAGACTATGGGAACCTTCGACCATCAAATACTTACTTGAAGATGAAAAAATCAGAGCAAAGGAAGATGTCAAAGCAACCTATACACGCCCTCTGGTCTGTCATATTTCTAATGTTTTTGGACAATTTTTTTTTTACTTTTGGAGATGAACTAAACTTCTTGATGTATCTCCTTTCTTTATATTGCAGGGCACTGAAGACATCGAAGGCATATTTCTGGACGCATCTAATTTAAGCTTTGATGTGAAGTCTGGTGCTTTTGAGGATATGCTAAGTCTTAGATTCCTGAAGATCTATTGTTCCAGTTATGAAAAAGATAGTAGAGTCCGCCTTCCCAAAGGACTTGAGTCTCTGCCTAATGAGCTAAGACTCCTCCACTGGGAGAAATATCCTTTGCAATCCTTGCCACAAGACTTTGACCCATGCCACCTTGTTGAACTCGATTTGTCTTACAGTCAGATTCATAAACTTTGGGGAGGAACCAAGGTAGGCAAATAAACTCATATCCACCGTCTTATGTTTTTTTTTCCAATATGTCAATTTCATTTCAACTTATAATTTTTTGTTTAGAATCTCAAGATGCTGAAGGTGGTCAGGCTTTGTCATTCTCAGCAGCTAACTGATATAAGCGATCTTTGTACAGCTAAAGATCTCGAGGTGTTAGATCTCCGAGGGTGTACACAACTGCAGAGATTTCCAGCCATGGGTCAGTTACGGCATCTCAGAGTTGTGAATCTTTCAGGTTGCACAGGGATCAGAAGTTTCCCAGAGGTTTCACCAAATATTAAGGAACTATATCTACAGGGAACTGGTATTAGAGATTTACCAGTATCCACTGTCACCCTCTCTCGGCAAGTTAAGCTTAACAGAGATCTCCCCAATCTTCTAAAAGAATTTCCAGAGGTTTCAGATGTTTTAAACCATGAGCGACTAACAAGCCTAATCAAACCCGTGTCAGCGCAACCACATCTTGGTAAACTTGTTCGCCTGAATATGAAAGATTGTGTTCATTTGACAAGTCTGCCTGACATGGCTGATTTAGAATCTCTTCAAGTTCTTGATCTGTCTGGATGCTCGAAGCTCAGCGTTATTCAGGGTTTCCCACGAAACCTGAAAGAATTATATCTTGCTGGGACGTCCATAAAAGAATCTCCACAGCTTCCCTTGAGTATTGAAATCTTGAATGTACATGGTTGTGTGTCTCGAGCAGCTTCCTAATTATTACACATTCAGTAATTGTTTTGCTCTTCCGGAAAAAGTGGTCACTATTTTTGTAAAGAATACTCTGAGTAATGTTGAGGGCCTAGCAAGGGAGTATCATCGAAGACAGAAACTCAACAAATCTCTGGCTTTCAGCTTCATTGGGCCTTCACCTGCAGGGAAAAAGCTAACGTTTTATACAACTGGTTCTTGAAGAAACACGCTCGGAATTGCCGTATTATTACAAGTTACATTTTCAGAGGATTACCACGAAGCTAGTGGTGGTTTTAACGTTATTTGTGTTTGCACATGGAAAGATAAGAAAGGCGTCTCATATACAATGCTCGAGACGTATATGATGGGTTAGACGAGAATGAAAGAACTTTATTGCTTTGCATAGCATGTCTGTTCAGTGACGAGGAAGCTGATATGTTGGCTCAAAATCTTAGCCAATAAGTCTGTCGTAAATATATCTCCATACGGTGTTATGGTACGAAAGGTTACTTCCGAAAATAGGTATGGAGATAAAGCTGGAGTGGATTCTCGGAAATGGTATGTTTTGGTCTCATTGTTTATTATTGATCTCTAATTAGTTTTAAGAACGTTCCATATTGAAATCTAATCATTGTTTGACCTATTATCTGCAAACTCTATTGGTCTTATTAGTATTTTTTTCTGGTGGATTTTTGCTTAGAGGTTTGTAATGGTAATGACATGGCGTTTTTCTGCTGCAGATGCACTCTTTCATGCCAATGCAGACGATAGCTTCTTAATCAGGAACCTAAAGTCATCTACTCATCACAGTGAGGTGGAGATAGAGCCCTTATGTGAACTTACTAAGCTTCCATGGGATGCTCAGATCATGGTCTTCCAAGATGTGAGAAGTCGTTTTGAGCAAGATTCTAGGGTTGTTCGGTCTATGTCACCCAGTAAATTTCTTGAGACACTTATCATTCTTGAAGAATGCTCACGAAAGAAATAGCGTTGACATAATAAAGGGTGGATTAGATTTGTTATTTGACTTTCCTCAGTGGAAATAGGAGGGCTATCGAATCATTGGAAGAAGATGTATTCGAAATGTTGTGCGTCTTTCTCGGGTCCGAGTTAGTAAGAAGCTCTGAACGTAATCGAGGTTCTCTCTAACCGTCCGCACTTTCTCTCCAAGATAACCTCAACAGGATATCTCTCTCTCTTCCCTTTTGAATATGGCTGAGTCTGGAGCAGAACGTCTTCAAGAAGAAGCTATGATCGCACTCAAAAACCTGTCTTCAAGCAAGGAGATTTGTCTGGAAGTGGTCTCTCTCAATTTCATCCAGAAGCTCACATCTTTCTTACATCAAAACTTTTGCAGAAAACACTCAATCATCATTCTGGAAAATCTCTACAATACAGAGAAAGGTGGGGTTTGTATAGCTTTGATAGCTGAATCACTCGACTCAAATGTTCCCGAGGAGCTAGAGAATGCAGTCTCCATCCTCCTCCAGCTCTGTGGGGAGATCGTGAGAGAAGGCGTTAATATTTATTCATCTCTTCTCCTGATATACATCCGAGGCAGCGAAGTTTTGTGCGTTTTAATTGCTTAAAATTCTTGAAGAAGTATTCTTGAAGAAGTATCCTCCACGAATAGTCTAAGATCTTAGGTCAACTGTGTGCACAAAAGTCATCCGAGAAGAAGTTGGAAAAGCTGTTAGGGAACTGATGCCACTGCGCATAAGAGAATTCCATTTTGCAGCTTTAACGCCCCAGGCCCCCAGCTTTCAACACCTGAAGCCATTGTGAGAGGGAGAAGTTCCGCTAAATTAGGCGAGTGTGAAGGGAACAAGAGATTATCTTCCCTGCCTCCTGAAGAAGCATGAGGAAATTATTTTCAAAGATCACAGAAATTCAAAACCGAGAGGATATAATAATGTCAAGGTTTAACGCAGAAGTCACATATTCTACCATAACGAAAAGGTCTCAATCCAATATCTGAAGGTTTCAAAAACAAAATTGACAAATCAAATACCATTAAAATAGAAACATTATGTTTAATGAATTTTTTATGTTTTCCAATTATACCATTTATTTTTATATACAAAATTAATTTATTATTAATGATAATTTTGTTATTTTTATTTGAACTTATATAATAATGAATTTTAGTAATGGGTTTGATTCTCTTTCAAATTTTATAAAATAATTTTTGAAAAATATATTTTCTTTGATGGTCAGACGGGTCAAATTTTTGAGTCGTAAAAATGATTCAATCTGCTGCAAAGCAGGTTAGACGAAGCGAGTTTGACCCGCTTCCCAACATCAAGTGTAGTTAATTGGTATTATTTTTCCAAAATAAAACTACACAATTATATACAATGCATTTACATAGATATTGATGATAATAGTAAATTAAAATATGCATTAATTTTAAAAAGATATATTAGATAGTGAAATTTTGTAACTAAATAATTTTATGAATTAATCACAAAACTAAAAAAATGGGTCAATTAATTATTAAATATATAATCTTTCTCAAGTATAAATTTGAGATACAACCATTGTTAATATATTTAGAAACGTAAAAAATTTGTCTGAGACATTGTAAAATAAAAATTTCTTAATACCTGCATGATAATTTGATCTTGATTCTGTGATATTTTATATTATCAAAGCAAAAGACTTATTTGTTCATCTATAGATAAAACAACAAAAATAGTACCCACGCTTTTTAAGCGCAAATCAAAAATCTAGTTTCATCTTAAACTTCACGGTGTCCGGCGTGTCTGAGACCGGGCCTTAGAGCATCCTCGTTAAAGGATGGGAAGAAGGGTTCTCACATTTTTCCCCCAAAAAAATTAATATAGTAAAGACAAAGTCATGAACCTTTATTATATAAATTCGCCGTGATTACTTTAAAAAAAAAATCAAACAAAAAAAGAAAAAAAAATAATTAATGCATACTGAGAATCGAGATTGGGGGGATTTGCCAATGGGAATGCTCTTAGATCCATCTACGATTTTATAGTCCTTGAAATTAAGATTTGCAAACAGATAACTGATCCAAAAAAGCTAAAAATTTGCAAACAGATAAATGATAAATATATATATATATATATATATATATATATATATATATTTTATTGGGCCATTTAAAATTTTAAATGATAATTTTTTACTATAGATAAAAATAAGAATCCAAATTAATAGAATAGATAGAAATAATAGCATCTAAAGTTATATATGTATATTATATGTAAATGAGGATGCCAAAAGAGAGAGCTAACTATAGAATTTGGTTAGATATGCCTTATAGAAGTTGATCAAGCGATGATTAAGCAGATTAGCATCTGTTTTCGGATGGGAACAAGATCAAGTCACAAATTTCACAATACAAAGTTTGTACGTTACATATTTTGTTGTGTTCCAAAAAAAAAAAGAAAAATGTATGTTACACATACAAAACAGAAACTAGTCACTTAGTGGTGATCCAACAAAATACAACTTATCTAGTGAAAATAAAATCTAGCAAACCCATAAACTGAAAAGAACACAACACCTAGCCACAAATACCTCAAAACAATGGATAGAAGCTCAGCAGCAGAGCTCACTATACTCTCCCCAACTGACCAATCTCTTCCTGAAGAAGTTCCACTACAGTCTCCTTCAACAACGACATGGTTTGGTTCCTCGTACACCAAACTTAAACCACAATTCACAATCTCACCTGCTCCATCTATCACTTTGAATTTGATTGACGCCTCCGTAGGACCACATTCCTGATGTTCTCCCGAACCTTCTACATGATTAGTTATGTGGGAGCAACTGGTGTAACCGATAAACACATGGTCTGAATCAATCTTGCGCGGTTCAATCCATCCTCGACCAAGAATGCAACTGAAACGTGTACATGTTCCAAATTCGTTTGTGAACTCACAACTGCATTCTATTGAGAAATTGTTACTTTGAGCGTGAGGGAATGCAACAACAGCGCATAGAACTATTGTTGAAAGTCTGTTGTCACACCAATGTGGTGGCAACTTCAGCTTTAACGTTGATCCAATCATGCGATGTTTAAACCACGAAGGTACTTCACTCCCTGGAAAGGAAGTAATAAATAAAGCTTCTGAAGCATGTCCCTGAAAATAAGTAACACATAAACCGAAACAAATCATAAACTGTTAAAAGATATTATTCAATTATATAAATAAAAGTGAGGGGTGAGACCTCTTTATAGCATCTAAGCGCATCTATTTGGCTTTTCCTTCGAGCATACGTTGTGATACTATTCTTCGCAGCCTGATCAAGACTGTTGCAGTTGGTGAAAATGAATTTAGAGTGAACCTTCTCCATATGTTTAAGAATGGCCAATGGCGTTGCAACCGTCTTCAACTTCTCGCAGCCATGTGCATCTAAGATCTCAAGATTTGGTGGAAGCAGTGGAATTGAAGTGAGATTCTTGCAGAACTTCAGGTCAAGCAGTTTCAGATGACATAGTAAACTGATATCATCTTGGAGGTTGGTGATCATATCATTCCGGCTCAAGCATAGACGCTGCAATGAGGCTACGCCGTTCTTCATACCACATCTTACTTCACGTAGGTCTTCCACTTTTAAGGTACTGAAATCTGTCCCGTCGAGCAACAATATCTGCAAGCTTTTCATGTTTTGAATAGGAATTGGAAAAGTACTGAGCTTTGAACAACCAGATAGCACCAGCTCTTGCAGGGCTTTCAGCTTTCCCAGGCATTCTGGAACTTCTACCAACTTTTCGCAGTTTTTCAAGTTCAATACAATCAGTCTCTTGAGCTTCCAAATGGTTGTTGGAAGTTGACTAATGGCAGTTCCTTCTAAGTGTAAAGTTTCTAGATTATTCGAAATCACCTTGAAAGTCTGAAGGCTTGAGCAGTTGGTGAGAATAAGAGTCTTCAGAGAGATCAGATTGATATTTGGGAGAACCCGGAGACTCGTGCAACCTCTCATGTTGAGGAAAACAAGACTCTGCATGCGTTTTAGGCCCTTTGGTAACTCTTGCAAACTCGTGCAGCCTTCAAGATTCAATCTCTGGAGACTTTCAGCATTTAGCAACCCTGAAAGATTGCTTAACTTTCTTGAATAGCTAAGATCAACCCACTTAAGCTTTGGTGTTTCCTGCAATAAATATTAAATTAAATGATAAAACTAACTGATAATAAATGAATTAAATTATTTTTTTATACATTAGTTAAAATCTTTTCCAACTTTAGAAATGTGACTTCGTCCCTAACAACACAATGAAAAAAAAGACTTCGTCCCTAACAATGAAAGGTAACATTAACAGAGACATACCTTAACACCATCCAAGACCCCTTCAATCTCGCTGTAAGGCAGGTTAAGGTCGGTAAGATTCTTGGGGTCGAATTCTTCTGGAAGGTTCTTGAAAGGAAATTTCAGCCAATGGAGATACCGTATCTCATCTAATGGAAGCTCAAGCCCATCAGGGAAGTTTAATTTGCAGTCAGCTTTGCATTCCCGATTACAATGGGAACTATAGATTTTCAAGTACCTAAGATTAGGCATCTTATTGAAGGTACATGTGTCCAAAGGAAGTTCCTTCTCTAGTTCAGACATGTCAACAAAAATACCTCTCACTCTGTCGTCTCCCTGCTTGACCAGTTAAAGACAACAAGTTAGCAAAAGTGGAGAAACTGCAAGTTTCTTAAACAGTCGAGTTCTAAGTGAGCTTCTAGTTTGTCATGAAAACTAGATTCAATCGCACGAATGTTTTTTTTCAGTTTTATACATAAATATTTTAGATTATTAATGATATTACATTTTAACATTAATCATATAATTAAATATTTATATAAATATATTGAATACCCATAATAATTTTATAGTTTATATAATTTTAGTTAATCAATTGTTTAAAACTGTTACATATATTTGTCACTACTTCTTATATATTTATATTATTGTAATTAATCAATTTATTTAAAATTTATTTTCTATTTAATTTATTTGAAATTTGAACCCGTCCTTCAAAACCAGATTTCCTTTTAGTAATATTTATTACTTTTATTCCTTTTATATAATATGTTATTATATATGCAAAAAAGTCTAAAATATATTAAGTTTTATATATGTATTATATAGTTTGCTAGTGTTAGCCCATCTTATCAGCCTATTATATTTTTGAACATAAATAGTTTATACTTATGAAAATAAATATATAAATTTATTAATTTAATATAATTTTATCAGATTTAGTTCAATATAATAATTTTATTTTAATATGGTTTGTTATGATTTTATAGTAGATAAAATAGGATATAATATTTATTTTTTTATTTTATAAACCATAACTGAATATATTAATGCATAATAATAGTTCATTGCTAAATATGATATTAGTTAATTATTTACATAACTTTTTGAAAGTAAGATATTGTTAAATTATTGTTCAACAGATCTGTTAGAATTTATATATATATATATATATATATATAATAAACTAATGACAAAATTTAGTAAAAATATTTCCAGAAATTTTTATACTATATTATATATTTATATATATAAACTAATGAAGAAATTTAGTGAAAGCATTAACAGATAATTGTTAAAAGATAATATCTTGTCAAAATCTTTTGAAACGGATTTGTTAATATTTAAAATGAAAATATATCAAAACATATTATGAACAAAGTAGTTCAGAAATTTTTATATTATTAGTCGTAATAAAAATTTTAAGGGATGGTCCAAATTAAGAAAAATCAGACATAAAAAAGAATCATGACTTCTATTCTAATAGATAAAATAAGAATGCCAAACAATTCCAAAGTTTATAATACATGCAAAACTCTTATACTCCCTCTGTTTTTTTTTAATATAAGTCGTATACTTTGGAACAAAAAATTTCCTCTAAAATGTCTTATATTAAAAACATAGAGAATATATCACAAAAATATGAAACATTGACACAAAAAAAATCTCCGAAATACCATTAGTTAAAGAATAAGATGACTATATTATCTCAAATCATAAACCATTATCTTTACTTCATTGTTAGAATATTAAACCTTAAACTCTAATCAATAAATTCAAATATTAAAAAGAAAAAATTTATGTACTATTTTCAGAATAAAAAATATATTTTAATGCTATCATAGAATATTTATCTAATTTACCGTTGTATTCTTCAGAGCATCAACAAATTCTTTGTTGTTCAACAGTCTACATGATCCTTGGGAAGCAAGTTCCTTGCCAAAAGTATACAGCAAATCGTGCATCTCTACTCGTCCACCAGAAATGTTAATCAAAAATTTACCGGCAAGATCCTTTAGATCAGACTCCACCAAACACCTCACGTAATGCTCATCCCCTGATCTAAAGAAACACGCAACATCAAGAAACACATCCTTTTGATGCAGACTTAGCTCATCATAGCTTATCTGCAAGAAATCTTGTATCGTCTTATTGGAACTTTGTGCCAGCTTTCGAAGTGTCTATCCCAGTGAGCCTTATCTTTTCCTTTAAGCTCTCCACCCAATATCTTGAGAGCAAATGGGTTTCCTTTGGCATAATCCGAAAATTCTTTGCAAAGATTCATGAAACTTCCCACTGGATTGACACCAAAGGCATAATGGCTGAAGCACTCCAAGCTGTCTCTGCCATTTAGTCTCAGAACATCATATATGTCGTCAACCTCCCCTTCGATCACTGACCTATCACTCGTCGTGATAATGATTAGGCTACCTTCCTTAATCCAGTCGCCATTGCCAAGAAGAACCTCTAGCTGTTTCTTGTTGCTCACGTTATCAAGAACAACAAAAGATTTTTTAAGGAGTAGGAGTGCTTTCAAGGACTCAGGCGTCATGTAAGCGACTGTTCGGATCATATCTTCATTCTTCAACAACTCTCTGCTGAGAATGCTCCCATCCATTGTGCCGCTTTTACACAAATCATGGACATCTGGAAGAAAAGCTTGGCGCACAAACTTTCCTTTACAGTTTTCATACAACATCTCCGTCAAGGTGGTCTTACCAATACCTGGCTAGAGCTGTCAAATGGTCTGTCCATGGGCCAAATGGGCTTGACCAAAGGGACCATTTGAGATATGGGCAATACTGGGTGGTCCAATATGGACAATGGTCCAAAAAGTGTCCAAGACCAATAAAGACCAAGACCAAATGGTCAAGCCCATGGACACCCAATACATTTTCATTTGTATTCAATTATATTTATATGTTTATTTATTTGTACTTAATTAAATTTATAAAATCTCATAAAAGTTGTAATTTATTTATTTTTACTTCTTTAAATTTATAAAATCTGTAATTAGTTGTTTGTACTTATTTAAATTTTATAAAATCTGTAAAATGAGAACAATGAGTCAATGAATATGAAACAATGAAACCAATGAGTTTAAAAGATCTTTAAAGTACCTGCATCCATTACAAGAAATGAGTCAAAACTATGGACAGAGATCACTAACGAACCATATATGCAGAAGATCTTTCTTACTCTTTGCAAGAAGCTGATGCAGTATCCATCTTTTCAAGCTGCTCCAGCTCTTCCTGACGAATATAAATAGAGGAAGAATCATATTAGATTACAACACTTGAAGACACCCAAAGGCACAAGTATTCATGTCCAAAACAGCTACGTGTACAAGAGCTTAAACCTCACCACGATATCAAGATATTATCCTGCCTTTGATTCTGACTAGGTATCTTACATTTTAAAATTTCGCTCCTCACCAATCTTTAAACCTTTGTTACTGATTTAAATGTTTTATTCAATCATCATAAAAACTCTCGTCAATGAAAATGAGATTGCTCATTGCTAAAGGATTCATCTTATACTATCTGTCAACTTTCTCCACATCACAAAAAACAGATTAGTACTATTAGATATCAATCAAGTCTTTTGGACGAAATAAATAAAAGCATAAAGAGTGGGAGACACTAGTAACTCATGGAAAGCAACTCACACTAGAAAAATTCAAAACTCATAGAATCTTAAATCAGATCAACACTTTTAGTATTCCCAAAACTAAAAAGTTTCAAACTTTCAAATTTTCTACCGTAGTCCACTCAAGATTCATCCTAAAACCATTGGAAAAGGCACAGACAAGATTGATCCAAACAAAGTAAATATTCAGACAGGAACAAGTTCAAGCTTAATAATCACGCAAATGAGATTCAGTTCCACCTTTCAACAACAGCAAAAGACACATAGACAAACTCTGTTACTAATGAAATCAAGAAAGCAAAACGCAAACAGCATCACACAGATATAAAAGCTCCATACATGATCTCATGAATCAAAGAAACTCATCACGTCTTCACACAAGCCTCAACAAGACAAATGCTTAACAAAAACGATTTAAGTCATAAACGATTCAAGCCATATAACAACACATAACAAGACATCAAGTTACATACCTCTTTCTCTTACTAAGATCTGAACTCAATCTCATCACCTATCTCATGAAATCCACGGAACCAGTTCCTAGCGCAGATAAGAGCTTGAACGTTTGCTGGTAGAAGACAGCTTCGGTACTTGTTGAGGACTCGGCTGCCGATGCTAAAGGATGACTCCGACGCCACCGTCGTGAGAGGGATGCTCAGCACATCACAGGCCATCTTAGAAAGCTCTTTGAAGCGGCCTGCATTATTTTTCCAGTATGATATAGCATCCCAACTTTGAAAGCTTTCCATATCTATCACTGGCTCATCCAAGTAAGTGTCTAATGGTGATTTCCCACTGCCACCGCCAGTCTTTTGAGAGAAGTAAGCATAAAATCCCTGTAAACAAAGATCAGATTCTATTATTCTATCATCTTCCTACGAGTCTTAAGAGTAAACTTACATTATATCCTGAAGGGATGTTGTGTCGAGGAGCCTGTGAAGTAGATGCATTAGTGGCATTTGTGTCTTTCTTGTATTCTCCAAAAAGCTTAACCATCTTGGCACGTATATACACCAAGTTCAACTTACAAGTGTCTGGATCTAGAGTGTTGTAACAATACTCTAGAAAAGCCATCTTCAGCCTAGGATCAAGAACAGCCGCAATTGCTAATATGTCACTGAACTCTTCCCAGTATTTGTTAAATTTCTCTTTCATAGCCACCACCATTTCACAAATGACTCGATCCTCTGAATCTTCATGATGTCTGATCCAACACTTAATCGACCACACTTGCATGAAGTATAAGTTTGCTGTCGGGTAAGATGAACCAGAAATGAGATTTGTGACTTCAGCAAATGGTTCCAATAGCTTGCAAATCCGTTCTGATCTGTCCCACTCTAGCTCAGATGGAAAACTCTTGTAGCTTTTATCAACTTCTCTAAGGTTTCTCAAGGCTTCCTTAAATGCAATAGCCCTTTCAAGCATAAAGAATGTGGAGTTCCAGCGTGTTGAAACATCCAAAATTAGACCCGCTTTAGCCACTTCAGCTGGTACTCCAACTGTTTCGATACAGTTTTGAAACGTAATTTCTCTAGACTGTGATCCTTTCACATACTTCACGCTCTCCCTGATCTTATCTAAAGCTCCACTGATGACAGCCAAACCATCTTGCACGATCAAATTTAGAATGTGAGCTGAGCACCTCACATGAAGAAATTCTCCACCGCACACCAAGTCTTTTTGTAGCTTTCTCTTCAAAATGCTGCACATGTTATCATTCGCAGATGCATTATCCACTGTCAGAGAAAATACTTTTTTCTCTAACCCCCATTCTTTTAGTAGCTCCACCAGCTTAATGGCTATAGCAACACCAGAGTGGGGAGGCGGAAACGCACAAAAGGATAAGATCTTCGTCTTCAAAACCCCATCTACATCGATATAATGGACTGTCAAACACATGTAGCCTTCTACTGTGATGGCCCTCCACAAATCTGTGGTTAAACAGACTCTCCCAGGGATTCTAGCCAAAACTGCCTTAAGCTTCATCTTCTCTTTTTCATAAATCTTGTACACATCTGCCGCTGCTGTATTGCGACACCAGAACTCAATAGAAGGATTAGCATAGGTGAAGGCTTCTCTTACCTTCTCATACTCGACAAACGAATAAGGAAGATTGTGCTGAATTATAGCCACAGCAACCATCTCACGGAACACTTCCATATCCAGCTTCCTATAACTACTTTTAGGACTAGGAATACTTCCCGGAGTCTTTGAGCAATTCTTCGAATGACGATTCATGGTATTAGTTCCATTCTGACGCAGATTCAAGCAATAATACTTCTGACAATGATTACATGTGACATCAGTTCTCCCATCAGAATGTTTCTCTCCTGCCGTAAAGTTTCCCCAGCACTTAGCACGACGTCTACTAGAACTACCACTACTGGTACCTTTTTCTGAAGAACCGCTTGCTACAGGCAATGGATCATCCTCATGGACCTCATGATCCTCATCAGTATCTTCATGTTCCATGTCTTCAATTTCATCATAGAAGCTATCTTCAACCAGGTTTGGAGTATCAAAGCTCATTGTCCTGTAACAAACATACAACACATACAAAACATTAGTATCAAAACATTAGTATCAAAACACATAAATACATCTAAAGACTTTGTGTATTTATGACTTGATGTCTTATATGTTACACGCTAACAAATACACATAACAAATAAGCAACTCAATCATTATCACCATTCACCAATCACATGAACACAAAGCTAAAGGAACACAAAGCTACTGCAATGAGTCTACATGAATCTAAAGCTAAAGATTCAAAACAGCTCAACGGCGTGGTGCCGGGTGCGAACTATAAAGACCAACATTACCATTTACCATCATTACCATTATTATATCAATACCATTACTATGTCATTACCATTATAAAGTAATACAGACCAACTATAAAGAGAATATAAAGAGAATATACCATCATTACCATTACTATATCACATAAAAGGAGCTCACCTAAAGCAACTTAGAGTTTTAGAACACTGATCAACACCTGAACTAATGCTCAATCATGAGATATAGCCTAAGAATCATTTTCATACAGCCCAGTGAGATTCAGACCAAAGTACCAATCTAAGCTAAAGACAAGATACACTCAAATGGAGGTAAGAGAGCACAAGTACCTTCTGGTAAGAAGAACTCGAGTGAAGGAAGACCAGAAGGATGAAGAAACCCACGTTCTGTAAGTTCCTGAAGAGTAACAGTGTCGCTTTATATTGCAGATTGTGTTAAACAAATGTGAACGTGTAATCATAAAAATATATACGGTACAGGCGCTTCTTTATAAATTTTATATTCTTATAATAAACAAAAAAAAAACTCCTACATCAAACCAAAAAACTCCTACGCCATAAAGTGAAGAACGCTGAGAGACTAAGCAACAAACAATTCATTTGATCATTTGATTCATTTCAGCTAAAGCCTAAAGCCTAAAGCAACTAACAATTCATTTCAGCCTAAAGAAGTAAAGCCTAAACAAACAAGTATCAAAGGCTGAGAGACTCTTACTTGAGAGAGAGGTCGCCGGAGAGAGAGGTCGCCGGAGAGAGAGGTCGCCGGAGAGAGAGAGCTTGAGAGACGGAGAGAGAGATCCTGAGAGTGAGAGAGAGAGAGCTTGAGAGACGGAGAGAGAGAGATCCTGAGAGTGAAAGACACAGAGAGTAGAGACTTACAGAGCTTGAGAGAGCTTGAGAGAGATCGCCGGAAAGAGAGAGATTGGGAGACGGAGAGGTCGCCGGAGAGAGAGAGATTGAGAGACGGAGAGATTGATTGATGATCTGGGTTCAGATCTTATTGATGAACCCACAAACCCATTGATCGATCGCCATCGCCACTGTGAGTCTGTGAGAGAGATTGAGAGACAGCGACAGAGAATTAGGTTTGACGTAATTTGGGTAGGCCCGAAGCCCATTTGGACAAGACCAAATTGTCCATGGGTGAAATGGGCTTAGGCCCAATTGGACCATTTGTAATTTGGTTGCAACCATGGACCGCCCATCATAGTTTGGACTGGTCAAGCCCATGGGCGGGGTGACCATTTGACAGTCCTATACCTGGCATCCCGACAAGACCAAGCCTAAGAGTATGGTAAACGTCGGATTTTATCTTCTCTTTCAATTTCTCAAAACGTGTTTCTATGCCAAAGGGAGGAAGAGTCGAGTCTGAAGCAGATTCAGCCGTTTCTTCATCTACTGCATTTGCAGGAATATTGTTAATGGGGATCTCTCTTTCCCGTTCTATCGTAATGCGAGTTAGCACTTTCTTCACTTCCCCTACAACCTGAACGATACATTCACTTTCTTTGCTGAAAGACATAAATGAAGAAAAGCAATCAGAAACCCTGGTAGCTATATAAAGATATACAAGTCCACAAATGATTATTTTACGTATTTAAGTTGATTTATTTTTAATTTGAAAATTATTTAAAGTTTAGTCATTTCTAAATCTAACAAGTAGCTTTTAGTTAATATTGGTAAATCAGTAAATCTATACATTTGTGTTATTTGTTTATTATTTCAATTAATTTATAAATTTATGTAAGATTTACAAATCCAAATAAAATCTAATGATTTCTAAATCTAATATGTAGACATTAATTAGTTAGTATTTATAATTTTATCTCAGACTTAAGTTTTGTATTTTGATTTAAATTATGATTTATAGATCACAAAACCAATAAAACGTGATTATAATATTAACCGAATGAATATCACTAAATTTATTTTGAACCTTCAAAATAATTAAATCTCAGAAACTAATATCTCAACTAAATTTATATGATCGAGTAACACGAGATTTCCACTAATATTTAAAAGTAGTAATGAATAATGAAAAAGATCAATAACCCAATAACACTTAGATCTCTTTTTTTTTTGGTAAAAAGGATTGAAAACACTTGATCTTGTTTTTGAATTTCTAAATATGTGAAGATTTAGTAAAGAATAACCGTGCTAAAACGAGAGGTACCTCGTTTCAGTTAAAGTGAAGCCGAACTTTCTTGAAACAACTCCTAAAGCTTCTCTCCACCTATCGATCCTTTCACCTTTATAATCCCTTGCCAATTCCCAAAACTTGTCACCGAACCCTCCCCTAAGATTTTTCACATGGGCCACCTCTACATTGTAGAAGATGGGGATGACCACAAGTTTGCCTAAGTCAACGCACTCCTTGATCTTGTCCAGCTCGTCCAAGCACCACTTTGACTCAGGATACTGGCTTGAGAAGATAGCGAGCGCCATCTTTGACTCCTCGATCCTGTCAAAGAGGGTCCTGATATCTTGACCTCGAGTATTTTTTTCGTCGATGAAGACATTGATTCCATCTGTTATCAAGGCCTTCTCCAGATGGCTGACGAAAGTCTTCCGCAGTTCCCCTCGAAAATTTATGAAGACTTGGTTGTGGGGCGGGGATTGCACGGAGGAAGAAGAGGAGGCCGCCATGATGGTTAGACACAGTTTCACAGAGAAGCAATAATGGAAGAGGGAATATTTAGCGTTGAGAGTGCAATCACTAACTGACAGTTTCACAGAGAAGCAATAATGGAAGAGGGAATATTTCGCGTTGAGAGTGCAATCACTAAAGTCTTGTGGGTTTTAGGTCTTTTAGAATGTTTTTCTTCTGCAGGTGTGGAAAGAGAGAAGAAAACAATTCAAGAAATCCCAGCGCCTGTACATCTATACTACTATTTGCGAAGTGAATTTTTGCAACAGAGTTATCACATTAAAAGTTTGAGTGGTTAATATCACTTAAACCCTTAATGAATAAAATATATAAATATATAAATCAGTCAAAAATGAAAACGAAATTAATATTTATTTGATTGGATAAATGATTTAAAAAGTGAATTTTTGCAACGGAGCTCTTATGTTAAAAGTTGAAGTGGTTAATATCGTTTATAACCTTAATAAATATAATATATAAATATATAAATCGGCCAAAAATAAAAATGAATTTAATATTTATTTGATTGGATAAATGATTTAAATTAATAATAATGATAAGAATTATCATAATCTAAATATATATTTAAAATTAAAAAGATAACTCCTATATATATTGTGTTGCTATCCAAAAAATATATTTTAATAAAAAATTCAAAAACAGAAAACACATAAATAATTATTCATAAAGTAAAATTTTAATTTTATATAATTGAAAAGCGAAATTTGAACTCACACATATATAAATCAGTCATAAATAAGAACAAATTTAATATTTATTTGATTGGATAAATGATTTAAATTAATAATAATGATAAGAATTATCATAATCTAAATATATATTTAAAAATAAAAACATAACTCCTATATATATTGTGTTGTTATCCGGAAAATATATTTTAATAAAAAATTCAAAAATAGAAAACACATAAATAAATATTCATAAAGTAATATTTTTAATTGTATATAGTTGAAAAGAGAAATTTGAATTCACAGGTTAAATTAAATTTATTTTTATATTTTATAAAGTTAAACCTTGAACATGAATTAATCATAATAAAATAAAAGATCATTCAAAAATAAAGAAAATACGTGTTTGACAAAAATAAATTTAAATATATTATAGTATTATTCAAACTAATATTATTCTTTCTGTAAGATCAATTTTGAATGTATATTTATCGATTCAATTTTTTAAATTGAAAGATAGATTTTTGTATTTTGTATCAATTAAGAAGAAATGAAATAAACTTTAGATTTTTCAAAGTTTTAAAGAAAAAAAATATATTTTTTTTAATTTGTGAACAACTTTATCATGTAAAAAGTTAATGTTTTAGGTCGATTTTTTTGGATGTACATAATCATTTATTTTGATAATTTTTGAAAATTAATTTAAAGATAATTAAGCCCGCATATACGGGCAAAACACCTAGTTCGACATTATTATTGGAGAAAATTACTTAAATTAACTCTAATCTTTTTGTTAATTACTAGAACTCTAGCTAATTTACATATCTTAGTATAGGTATAAAAAGATTATGTTAACCTCAATGGTTCCTCTTAACTACAATTTTAACATTATACATTAATTCCTTAACAATAAAAAACATTAAAATATATTTATATATATATATATATATATCTTCAGTATTTCATTCCTCATTTTTGGATATAGCTCAATTCTATGTTAAATCTGCTCATTAACTAATAACTAGTTTTGTCTGTCTACATCTATAACTTTACTCCTCGTTCTTTTGTCAACACTAAATAACCATTTATTTTTACTAGAAATTCAATGACCACAAATAATTTTTATTTGCACCATGAGAGAAGAAGAAAATAGATAATTGTCAATTTCAAAATGCCATCGACGTCAACAAATAAAAACAAAGCAAACACGTGAAGACTTTGTGGATTGGGACATTTCTTTGTTGAGTTTAAATTAATGTGGTTGGGTTTAATTAAATAATTTTGGTTTGGTTTGGTTTAATTAAATAGCCATTCTGGTTAAATAAGATTAATAAAAAAATATGTGGCTAAACTATAAACAAATCTTTCGCTTTAATTTTAACAAATATGTCGAATGGTAACAAATTTGTGGTCAAATAAAAAATAAATCAATCAAATCTTAATTAAATCGGTCAAAATTTAATAAGTTTAAATCTGTCAACCAAATCAAAAATAAATATATCAAAAACAAGTAAACCTGTGACTAAAAAAAAATCTATCAAAACTTACATAAATCTGTTCAGATTAAATAAATCTGTGGCCAAATAAATTAAATCTAATAATTTTTAATTACTTCTGTCAAAATTTAATATATCAGTGGCTAAACGTGACACATTTGTTATAATAAATCTGTGGAAATCTTACTAAGTCTAGAAATTTTTAAATAGATTTTTGGCTAATAAAGAATATATTAATTTTGTGGTTACATAAAACGTGAACATAATAAGTCTATCGGTGGTAGAATGGTAAATATTTCAAAACTTTATGGCATTTTTATAATTATTATTTTTGTTAACAAAGGAAATAAAGGTAAATTAGATATAAAAATAAACTAGTAACTAAAATAAGTTAGAGTTATATTAGTAATTAATTGATAAATAAGGGTTATATTAGTTGTTTCCCATATTATTATTTTTAAGTAGTTTTACAAATGCTTTGTTTATTTGGTGAACATTTTAAGGAATGCAAAAGAACGTAGATTTTATTCCAAAAATGCATTCTAATTGCACCCATAATCATCACTATAAATTCGAAAGTAGAGCCTATCCATTTAAATATTTCAGTATTTTATGTTTATTTTCAGCATGCGTATAGTAGTAGAAGACAATTGACGAAAAGTGTTTGGACAGTGGAATCTTTCATTACTAATTTGTTTACATAATCATCATTAGTCATGAAGAGTCTGTCGGTCTACTATAACATTGTCTTCCATAATTTTATTTTATTTTTAGTAGTACACTAAAGGAATTAATTCAAAACAGGTATTATCAAGAAAAAGGGTTTTTCAGCTGCACAAAGTTTATGGTAATATGATTGGAACTATCCAAAGTATAAAAATGTATCAATAACTATATAAAATTTATATTAATATATATTATATGTATGAAGTAAATGATTTATGATGGCAATATCACAATAGAGTTTAACTGATTGTAACTAAATTGATGTGCTTCAATCCGTAATTTATAAAAGTTAATTTTGATTTACTAAATCCGACTTGACCCCATTATTTTATTCAATCTATTGTGGATTTAAGTGTTGATTGAAATTTTTGAAATAAGAGTTCATAACAACAGAAAATCGATATGAGAGAGAGAGAGAGTGATAACTTAAATACTTATTAGTTATAAAAATAACTAGATCTTTATCCGCGCAACCGCGCGCGTATTACTTTCAATTTTATATACATATGTTATTTATTTTATGAATATATATTTTTTAACTTTGAACATATATTTAAATGTTTATATAAATGTATTGTTAGTTTTAAGATGTTCTTATGTATTAAGAGAATGAAAATGGAAATTAAATATAATTGTTAAGATTTTATTATACAAATACAAAAGATAAAGTTACAACTTTTCTAAGGAATGGTCAATTTTTTTAAAAAAAATCACACTTGAAAAGAAGTTGTGATTTCTCTTTTAATATAATAGACTAGTAACTAAAATAAAATTAGAGTTTTACTAGTAATTAATTGATAAATAAGGGTTAAATTAGTTTTTTCCCATATTATTATTCTTAAGTAGTTTTACAAATGCTTTGTTTAATTGGTGAACATTTTAAGGAATGCAAAAGAACGTAGATTTTGTTCCAAAAATGCATTCTAATTGCACCCATAATCATCACTATAAATTCGAAAGTAGA